TCTACTCATTCTCCAATCACATTTAGTGACTGGTGATAGATGATAGACATATAATTTAAAATCATCTCTGGACATTGAATCTTAATTTGGTGGGATCTTCATTAGTGTTTACTTATAAGCCTATCATATTTTCCAAGTAGTTCGAGGGGAACATCCCCCAACCCAACACCCTCCCCCCAAGATAACTAGATCCACCCATCACCATATATGTTTGACAGATTTGTATAATTTTTTTTATCCTCTTGTATGTTTATTTCCCTATTATATTTCCATTTCTTTCTCTAATTAACAAGGGAAAGAATGCACTAATTATATGTTTATGTAGCATTAAACTGCAGGAAACTCTCATGGATAAATTGAGTCAGAGGAAGGAAAATTGAAAAATGAAGTAAAATTATAGTTTAGCAATTATAAGGGTTTACTTTTCCCATATTTGAGATTTTTTAGTTTTGAGGGAGACTCAAGATTAAAGAACTGTGAACATATGCATTCACATAATGCTAAATGGATTATCAGGATTTATAATTTATGTTTTCTGCTTCTTGTATATAGTTCTCCTGATAATCTATAAAGAGCTACCAGTAGTGGAAGAAAGAAAACAATAAGAAAAATCCAGCACATTGTGTAGAGGAGAGCAAAATGCTACATGGAAGTAACATATGCTTCTACCTGGCTTTTGGCATTTGTGATCTTTCTCATTAATCTTTCCTATCTTTCTTCTTTACATCTTTCATAATTCAGTTTATTTTTTATACGTTTTTGTGCAGGCTGGACTGGACTCTTTTGCCCTTGTGTGCTGTTTGGGCATAATGTTGAAACCCTAAGAGAAGAAATTCCTTGGACTAATGCATGTGTTTGTCATGCCTTGTGTGTTGAAGGAGGAATGGCTCTAGCAGCAGTAACTGCACTTTTCAATGGTATTGATCCTCAGACGATGTTTCTGATCTTTGAGGGCCTCTTTTTCACTTGGTGGATGTGTGGAATCTATACTGGCATGTTTCGTCAATCACTACAAAAGAAATATCATCTCAAGGTGCTTTGTAATATCTATTCTTTTAGTTCTCTTGCTTAGCTCTTTTCAGCATTTATCTTGTTAAGGAAAATATATCTCAAATCATTACTTGCAGAGGTTCAAGTACTATTCGATCTTATATGAAGCTCATCTTCTGATTTTTACCGCTCTTGCTATCAGAGACTGTGCCTCTAAAAACATGATATGCATATATTTCTGGGAGTTGCATTTCTAATCTTCCAAGCTTAATGATGATAACAATAACTTCTTCAAGGTTGTTCTATTGCATTATGGAAAACCAGGAAAAATTTTGCCTGTGGGAAGTAGGAACCTGTCAGTTCATTATATTTTTTATTATGGATTAGTTGTGATTATTTCCTATTACATAATTTGAGTATATGTGCTGTTGATTTGCAGAACTCTCCTTGTGACCCATGCCTTGTGCACTGCTGCATGCACTGGTGTGCTTTGTGTCAGGAACATCGAGAAATGAAAAATCATCTATCTGATGATGAAAAAATGCCAACATTTGTCAACCCACCACCGGTTCAGGAGATGAACTCTGGTGAAAGTAAGGAGTCTGAACCATCAGCAACATCTTCTGAACATGGTGAACATATCAATTTGGAGTTGCAGCCTGTTGAGAATAGGTGATTGACTATATATTGGTCAGCAAAATTGTTCACAACCCCCTCCGCCCAGCATTTTTCACCTTCCAAATATTTTCTGTAAGCCTTTAGCCAAACAACTTAATTAAGTAGGAAATTTTGATAGCAGGTGGCATCAAAAGGTGAGTATGTTGGATTTAGACCATTTCTGAATTTATAAGACTGAGTCTTCCATGTCCTTCTGAAAAGTGAAAGTGAAGGTGAAGGTTAAGAACCTCAATAGATTTAGAAATCGAAGCTCAAGTTGTGAAAGGTGCACTAATTCTAAATAAAATAGGATGAGGTTCCAGAAGGATTTTTTTTTTTTTTTTTCTGAGCAATGATTCAGAATATAATTGGGATTCAAATTGTCAACTCTATTACGACAGTGTTAAGCTTAGAACAAAGTCTAAAAATTTATACAATTTATTTACAAATTTATACTTCATTAAATTTTTTACAAAATATAACCACATATGAAATCTCATGCTGGCATTAGAATAGTTTATTTTGAATTTTTTATTTTTTATGAAATATATAAAATATTCTCCAAATTCACTTGAAATTCTATACAAATTTATTTTTTTAGTTTAGTGCAATTTATATTATTATTTAATTAGAATAGGTATGAATTTCATAACTTTTTAATTTATTGCAGACATGGCCTAGGATCTTAAAGCTTAGTAATTTAAATATGTTGATTCATCTGTCTATGCAAAATGCTAATTGTGATATCTTTGAAAGAAAATGGTATTTATCAGCCTTAAACAATTTTTTGGGATTTGTTTTTTAATTTCTTATGCAGAAGACTGTCGGAATATATATATATATATATTCTATTCCAGTTAATATCCAAGATTATTTCAAATTATATTTATTTATATATATATATATATAGAGAGAGAGAGAGAGAGAGAGAGAGAGAGAAGAGCAAACAAAGGTTACGTTCTCTAAATACACTCATCTAAAATGAATTGGTAACTTTTACTCCCTTTTACTTTACTATCCCCATGAGAAAAGCTTTAATGGAATCCAAGAACTTGTTGGGGCAAAATGAGGGGAAAGAATTGAGGGATGAAAACATTCCCGTTGATCTTTTGGCAAAAATTGGGTGGGATGTTCATGATGATAGCCAAAAGAATTATCAATTTAGTTTCTAAATTATAGATTATATTGCAATTTAATTCTAAAATTAAAATACAACATTTAGGGTTATAGAATTAACAAAAATAAAATTAATTTACTTATATATTAAATATTTGAAATATAATTTTCTTCCATATGAAAAAACTAGTAGATAAAACTGAATTATTAAAAAATAGTTTGAACCAAACACATATTAAATAACTAACCACTTAATTGATTAGTTGACTAGGTATATAATAGATATGTAATATAATAATTATTATATTAAAAAGTTTTATTATCGTGTTAGAATTATAATTCTAACTGATATGATAATAAATCGTATATATAGAATTATAAAACACATGTATGATATTTTAAAAATACTGTTTTAAAAAATAAGTATTTTATACCCAATATATTGTTATGAAAATTTAATTGTTGACTTAGTCCTTCAACTTTTTGTTTTTAATAATCTTTGGAAATCAAGATACTGATAATAATCTTTTATCCATGTTTATTAGATTATATTTACTTTCTATTATTTTGTATGGCTATACGTACAGCCACTTCACATAATGAAAATAAGCAGAGTTTTTACTCAATTTGCATACTGTACTAAACTAGATTCAATATTTGGTACTAGAGCTACATTGGACTTGTGTCAAAGTTTCTTGTAAGTCTTGTAGCCACAATTAAAGATGACAACTGAGGACAGTTTTGTTCAACCAGCAATATCATAATTTGATGGGCACTATGAGCATTGGAGCATGTTGATAGAGAATTTTTTCTGCTCCAAAGAATACTAGCATGTAGTTCAAATTGGAGTTTCTACTGCAGCAGACGATACTGATCTCTCAGATGAACAAAAGAAAGAGGTGGCAGATTGGAGATTAAAAGACTTACGAGCAAAAGATTATCTCTTTCAGGCCATCGAACGTTCATTCATTGAGACTATATTCGACAAAGAGACTTCGAAAGGAATCTAGGATTCAATGAAGAAAAAATTTAAGGGGAATATAAGGGTCAAACGTGCACAGCTGTAGGCCCTTCGTAAGGATTTTGAAATCCTTCATATAAAGAAAAGTGAGACTATCTCTAATTACTTTATTTGTACTCTCACTGTTGCTAATAAAATGCATTTTCATGGTAAAAAATAACTAATGTTATTATTATTGAAAAGATCCTACGCTCTATGATTTCAAAGTTTGATTATGTACCTTGCTCCATTAAGGAGTCCAAAGACTTGGACATTATGACCATTGATGAATTGCAAAGTAGTCTATTGGTTCATGAACAACGGGCACAAGGACATATTTTGGAAGAACAAGCATTAAAGATCACTCATGAAAACAGTATCGGTAAACCAAATCGTGGTGGTGGTGCCTCTCGAGGCAAAGAACGAGGGTGTGGCAAACAAGGTTTTGACAAATCTCTTGTTGAATGTTTTCATTGTCATAACCTTGACTATTTTCAATATGAATGTCCAAAAAAGGGCAAGGGGAAGGAGTCACTAGCCCATTATGCTGAAACCTCTGAACCACTACTACTAATGGCATTTGTTGATGACGCGAAGATGATAGGACAGAAAAAGGGGACAAGAGGTTGTTTCTCTGAACCTAATACTCTTGTAATTGATAAAATAGAGGAGTTGCTTCTCATGACACATGACGAGAAAGCACATGATGAAACAACATGACTCTTATAGTCCAGATGCAATAACAATATGTGTGGACACATGGAATTCTTTTCATAACTAAATGAGGGCTTTTGCAAGTTCGTGAAACTAGCAACTCCAGCATTGGTGTAATGGGAAAAGACCACATTCAACTCCAAATTAATCATGTTTCACAAGTTATTATAAAAGTATTTTATATTCCTGAATTAAAAAATAATCTCTTAAGCATTGGCCAACTGCAGGAGAAAGGTTTGACAATCTTATTTCGAGATAACAAATGAAAGGTGTACCACTCCGAGAAAGGCCTTATTAGTGAAACAACGATGTCCCTAAATAGGATGTTTATCCTCCTTGCTAAGATTCAACTTCAAAACCAGCATTAAGTTTTTCACTCCTACACAAAATCTGGATTGTTTCTAGCATTGCTAGTATGGTCACTTAAGTTTTGGAGGTCTTACAACAAAAATAGATGGTTCATGGGTTGCCACAACTGTTATGTTCCAGCCTATTATGTGAAGATTGTGTGCTGGGAAGACAACACAGAAATTCCTTTCCACAAGAAAGTATGTGGTAGCTACTTCAACTCCTTCACTCAGCATATGTGGGCCAATTTCTCCCATCTCTAACAGTGGAAAAAGGTATCTTTTAACCTTTATTAAAGATTTTAGTTGAAAAATGTGGGTATTTTTTTAACAGAAAAATCATATGCCTTTAGAATGTTCCAACTTTTTAAAACAAATATTGAGAAAAAAATGGGGACTAGTATCCAAGGCTTGCGAACTAATCGAGGTGGAGAGTTCACATCTACTAAGTTTATTGAATTTTGTTCAACTAATAGGATACATCATCAACTCACTACAACCTACACTCTTCAACAAAACAGAGTGGAAAAAAGAAAAAATCGAACAATCATAGACATGGTTTGAAGTTTGCTTACCAGTAGACGAGTTCCTAAAACATTTTAGCCTGAGGTTATCAACTAGGCAGTACATATTCTCAACAGAAGTCGTACACTTATGGTTTGAAATAAAACTCTAGAGGAGGCATGAAGTGGCACCAAACTATCTATCGAGTGTTTGGATGTGTTTCTTATGCTCATGTTCCAAATAACAAGAGCCTCAAATTGGATAGTAAGAGCTTAAAATATGTTCTACTGGGAATTAGTGAGGAGTCCAAGGCATATCATTTATATGATCCACTATCTCACATGGTGATTATTAGTCGCGATGTTATCTTTAATGAAAAAAAAGTTGGCCATGGAATGATAGTCATACTGAAGCAACTCAAACACCTTTTTATTGGAGTGATATAGATGAAGACAATTATCATGATAATCAAGATAGATCAACAGTTAACAATTCATATCGCAAATTTTATGAGGAAAATTTGGAGCATCAAATAATTGAAGAACACCAATTATTGATCATATTTCTAAACCTATCGAAAGGCGCTCTCGATTCCCATAAATCTGGATACGTGATTATGACAATAGGGAGGGCCTCTCTGATGATGATCAAGGTAATTTTGCTTTACTTATTGATGAGGATCCTTTATCTTATGAGGATGCAGCTAAGAGTGCCAAATGTAGATGTGCCATGGACTCTGAAATTGAAACCATCTTAAAAAATGATACATGGGACCTCACTAATCTTCCTCATGGTGTAAAAAGAGTTACAGTGGAATGGGTATACAAGACTAAGCTAAACGAGGATGGAGAAGTTGATAAATATAAGGCATGCCTTATTGCCAAAGGGTACACGCAACAACATGGGGTGGATTACACAGAGGTCTTTACACATGTGGCTCATATGGACACTATACGGCTAGTGCTTACTCTAGCAACTCAAAAGGGGTGGTCTGTGTTTTAACTAGATGTCAAGTTTGCTTTTCTTCATGGTGAGTTAGATGAAGAGGTATACATTGAATGTAACGGCTCCAGAAATTAAAAGGAAATGTATATATAAAAATTCTAAGTGTGGAAGTGAAATAGAATATTATGATTAACATCCCTTACACAATGGTTAAGTAAGGAATGAGCTATACTAGCTCAGTAAAGATGTCACACTATCTCACTGTCACAGAAGTAAAGGTTGGTAGAAAACAAAAACGATCAATGGAGCATAATTTATAATAAATTCATTTATCAATAATAAAACTCTTTACTGTCCACTTACCTTGGTGAGATTCATGAAAATAACTTATGAAAATAATAACATTATAATATCATGAAATCATACGCACTTTGTAACACAACACATGTCATACTTTTAATATTTCAATCATCAGGCAATAAATTTTCTCTTTTACCAGCCTACCAGTATCCATGGGGATCCATAGGGGTCCTCGTTACACATGAACCATTCACCTTAATAACTTAACTCCAGGGCTGTCCCCATACCCCGTCCGGTATGAGCACCAAAACCATAAACCTCAATACCCCGTCTGGTATGAGGGTGAAGCGGACCGTCCCCACACCCTGTCCGGTATGAGCGCCAAAATATTTAAAGTCTCCATACCCGGTCCGGTATGAGAGACAACGTTCCTGGTAGGGTTCCTTATGGACCCGGTCCGTTCACC